AGAATACAAAGGCAATTGACCAGAATTGCTACCTGGTGTTTTATGGGCATATCACACCACAACAAAAACAAGCACGGGTGAAACACCATTTTCACTAGTATACGGGGCTGAAGCATTGATCCCAGTGGAGATAGGAGAACCTAGCACGAGATATACAGAAACAAATGAGGAATCCAATGAAGAGGAAATGCGGTTAAATCTTGATTTACTTGAAGGAAAAAGAGAAGCTGCATTAATAAGGATGACAACACAAAAATAAGTTATGGAACGATACTACAATCGAAAAGCACGTCTTAGATACTTTAAGATTGGGGACTTCGTACTCAAGAAAGTTTTTCAATCCACGAAGACGGCTAACACGGGAAAATTAGGCCCAACTTGGGAAGGACCTTATAAGATTCATGGAATTGCGGGAAAAGGAGCATACGAGCTGGAAACAATGGATGGTAAGATATTACCTTCACATTGGAATGCTGTTCACCTGAAGAGATATTATTTCTAAGGAGTACCCACGGGCAGGTATCCTCATTTTAAAATTTTGTTTTTGAATTGCTAAATTTTTACTAACGATTTTAGATGATAGGCAAAAAGCTAACCCGTACTAAATGATGAATCACGACCTGCAAGGCACGTGGAATAGATTAAAATTCCTGGTCTAGGGTTACAACTATTCTGATAGAAATTAAAACGCATTAAGCAGTCTTCATCTATAATCATACCTCTGAGTCCCGTATGTTTTCTTCCTTTACAGGAAAAGGACAAAATAAGAGGAGTAATCAAGTGCTCAAGGTTTCATACTTCAAAGCTCAAACACTTGGGGGACTATATAATACACATAGACATATGCATAAAGAAGGCAATGAAGATTGAGAAACGATCAAAGTTCAAGCCTGAGAAGTTTACTCATTAAATGAGTCAAGTGCAGAGCAAAGCTACGAGCTAGAAAGCCAAAGAAAAAACCTCATCATAGTTAGGCTCAAGGCAGTATACATGTACTGAAATGGGCTATAAGTAAAAACCTTGTATTTAATATACATGTACTGAAACGAGTTATTACATAAAAACCTTGTGTTTTATTTTCTTTTGAAAATATGTTGTAAGGAAAACAGTTACGAAAAAGTTATAAAAGTTACTCAAATACATGTAAGATGTTATTTAAAGCTTGACAGAGTTCAAATAAAAACTTATCAAAGTTATTTCAGGAAACATATGTATTCCTATTTCTTTTGTCGTACAGTACACCATTATGAAGTTGAGACGTCTTCTTCATTAAGTGTCGAGTATAAAAGGGCCCTTAAATATAAAGGCAGGAATAAGCAAAACAGAATTTCAAGCAAAAAAACTTCTTAATAACAAACTTCTTAATATTAAAAAAGTATAGACTAAGTATAAACTTAGTCATAAACTAAAAGTTGTTTATACAAAACGCCCGATAAAAGGTCTGGGGACTTAATGTTTTCAAAAAACCCTCAAAAAGGACCAAGGGTTACAACCACATACCATCCAAAAAGAAAAAAAAAGAGGAAGTCACATATTATGAACTTGTCACTAGGGAGTTGAAGAAGGAACTGAAGCAGGATCGTCAGCAGCAGCAGGCTCAACTTGACTTGAAGGAATTGGAGCACTCACCGTACCTGTATCATCTTCTATATTCTCAGAAGTTTCAGCCACGGGAGAAGAAAAGTCTTGGCTTCGCTGAGTTTTTTCGATGGTTTCTTTTATTTTAGCCAACTCAGCCTCCAAGTTAAAATTCTCTTGGCTAACTTCTACAAGGGTATCATGGCGAGAATTTAAAAATGCCCAACTCACTTCAATTGCGGTTTTATCCTCAAGTATCTCGTAATCTTTTTCCCACTCAGCAATTTCACTTTTAAGTTTTTCATTCTGAACCAAGGCAGAATCATAAGAAATCTGAAGAGAAGCATGTGAACTTTCTAAAAAGCGAACCTTACCAGAAGATTCCCGGAGGTCTTCTTGAGTCTGAGTCAAAGTTTGCGCAAGTTCACTAGCATAAGCTTCTTTTTTTACTTAAGAGAGCCTTCAACTCTCTGATTTCTTCACTAGCCTTAGAGAGTTGCTCGAAAAAGGAAGTTTCGAGAAGATTCTTGTCTTTACTAGCTTGATTTGAGGAAGCTCTTTCAACCGCCAACTCAGAAGTTAAATCTCTCAGCTGCTGCTCTAAGGTACACTTGTTCTCTTCCAATGCTTCCATGTCAATTTGGAGGCTCTCATACTGTTCCCTCCAGTTATCTGCTTCAACTTGATACTCGTGCATCAACTGCTCTGTGTGAGAAATCCTCTTCATCATCTCTGTACCAACGAGGTTGATCTAAAAAAAAAGAGAGAAAAAAAGAAAAAAAGGGTGAGAACCTTATAAAAAGGAATAGTAAATCATTAAAAAGGAATACCTTTAATGATGATTGTATTATGTCATTCATCAAATTTAAAGAACTGTGGCTCTCAAGCTTGGCCTTCTCTGTTGGACCAATTAGGGGTTTCAACCACACGTCGACTCCTCCTGATTTTCTTAGAAGATTACCATCGGCAGGGACTTCGATGATAACCTGTCTCATGGCTCCACTTCTACTTGAGGAACCAACCTCAGTTTGTTGAACAATTATGGGAGGAACTGTGAAAGAAGTCAAAACAGCTGGGGGAGGAGCGGTAGAAGGAGTCAAAATAGTTGGGGGAGAAGCAGCAACGGGAACAGCCTCGAAAGACAAAGAAAGTATTGTAGGAGCAGATAAAGGAAAAGAAGTAAAGGGGCGCTTCATCAGAAATTGATTTCAAACTTTCACTACCAAACCCGCGGGTAAAAAGCTGCTCAACAGAATCACGGGCGGCAGCGGGGGTATCATCATCGGGAATCACCAACGAGGCTTCAACAGGCTCGGTGTGAGGAGTAGAACGTGGGGGAGATGCTTCATCATCTGAAATAATTCGTCTCCTAGCTCGTGGCCTTTTTATCAAAGAACCCCCGTCTTGTTCTTCTTCCTCCTCAGAGTCTTGATCGATAGTAGCTTTCCTTTTCGGAAGAGCCCAAAATTATTTCTTGGGACCTTTCCAAAGAAATTCGGGAAGCTACGACAACCTCAGCAGTAATACCTCGAATGGAAAATCTCCTGATAAAAAGAAGGATTAAAATAAATTCTGGAAGAAGCGATAAGAAAAGTTATAAAAAAGACTTTTACCGTGAGTTTTCACTTCCCAACCAAATCGTTGAGAGAGAGTTTTCCAAGATCTACCCTCCATCGGGGCAGCATTTAACATCTTTCCTACCCAACCACGAAAATTGAAAATTTCATCGACAATTCCAATGGTTGCTAAAAAAAGAAGAAGAAGAAGAGAAGGAAATTAAAACGACAATCAACAGAACTAAGAAAAAGGTATGTGAAGGTTATTAAAAAGAAAACTCACGTGCAAAATTCCACTTCTCAGGGAAGGGAACGTTTTCTTCACCCACTAAACCAACAGTGGGGCAGCAACATGGCATACCAGCCACAGTCCTTATCGTCTTCTGAATTGACTAGAACTCTTTTGCTTCTTGCTACTAAAGTGAAAACTCCTTGGCGAAAGAGTTTGGGAGAGTAAAGGTGAATAAAATAGGATAAAGTAAAAGGCACACCAGCCATGTTGGTTAAGTGTCTCAAACAAGCAACAACCCTCCACATAGGGCCAATTTGTCCTAAACAGACGTCGAAAAAACGACAGAATTCGAGGATAACAGGGTCAATAGCAGGTTTGAAACCCAACGTGAAAGGATATGTATAAACAAAAGAAAACCCAATTAAATAAGAGGTAATTCTTTGGTTCGCATTTGGAACTATAATAGGGAAGTCATGGCTCCAATGGCAATCTTTACGAACTAAAGAAATCAGACCTTCAGTAATCTGAGATGGGTAGATGTCAGCACGATCTAATGAAGACAGTTGGTTTCTGAGAGACTCTCTATCATTATAAAAAGATAGTTCAACAGGAACAATCTCATCTACAGTGGGTTCACGAAGGGGCTTAGTAGGTTCTTTACTTCTAGACGAAGACCTTTGAGAAAAGGAGCCTCTGGTTCTAGAAGATGGACTGGAACTAGATGAAGGAAGAGAAGAACCACGTGTGTATGAAGACCCTAAATTACGAAGTCTACCTCCTCTTCTGCTCCTACTAGGGGCAAGAGGAAGGTTATCGACAATGGGGACTCTCCTAGGGTTAGGGTTTGATGAAGACATAATAGTACGAGGAAGAAGCAAACATGAATTGAATATTCTGAGAACTTTATGTGAGAAAGACAAAGGTGTAAACTATATTTATACTTAGAAGCAACCGTCAAAGGAAAAGGTGAAATGATGGAAAAGTCATAAATGAGAACTGTCGTTTCATAATTGGTGAAGCCGTAAAAAAGCCTTAAAAGATACTGCAAAGTCGCAGAACCAATCAGAAGATGCCACATGTAATAGGCATTAAATAGAAGTGACAAATGAAGCGTCGATTCCAGAAGAGAATTAATGGCGGCAAATATTCCCGCTTTAATAAAATCCACTTTCCAAATATTCAATTGATGAATAAGTGGCAAGTGGGGGGACTATCTGTATTGGGAAAAATTGAGTTTATATATATTGAAGTGATTGAAAGATGACATGTCATGACACGTAGACTGGTCAAAGAATGATGATCAGCAAAGAAGCACGAGTTGCAACAGACACGAGCAGAGACGCGAGCAGAGACACGAGCAGAGATTCAAAAGACTCGGCGGTCGAACCTATTTAAGTTCAAAAGTTAAAGAGAATGAGCCTGGTAGCAAAAGAGAGTACGGATACAGTATTTAATAGGCATTAATTACTGGAAACGTTATAGAATCTGTATTGAATTACAATGATTATGATTTATAACGTAGCATTAAATGCCTTTAATTGTCTATAATGGCCTTATTATGACAAAGGCAAAACGTATATCTTAGAAATAGCTACAAAAAGGAAAAGACTGATACACGAAAAGACTATTGAATATACTGATTTACTTCGCTTTCTATTCATCCTTTATTTACATCCATTATTCTTATTTCTATTTGATTATCAGTAACCCGAGTTCTTCTAAAATAAGCTTTGACTGAAATTCCACTTTTTGGTTAAACAGCCACAATCCTCAAAGTGCAACTTGGATGTTAGCTTAATAAATCAAAAGGGAAATTAAGTTTGTTAGCAGGATCAAGCATTCCAAGAAGGTTCCCTTGGGCTGAAATAAGAAGCTTTGATGCTAGAATTTAGAAGTTGAAGTGCAGAGTCATTGGAGATAATGCATCTTGGAGTTTTGTACTGATTAATGGATCCACCTTGACTTATAAGCAAGTCCATTAACGCTTCAAAAGTGCCTGGCTTCACCAATCGAATCTCCAACGGCCCAATGGACTTGTCGTTCGTCCGACACCGTCTGTATATGTAGTCAAGCTCTTCTTCAATGGCAATGCAACACTCTTCAACTACTTGTGCTTCCACATTCACATCTGTTAGATAAAGAATAATGTTACGTTAGAAAGGACAAATCCTTCAACTCCCTTGCAAATATCAACTACTAGTACAATACTTTTGTCCCATTTAAACATAGAATTTGTGCTTGGTGTGTCTAATGTGTAGGCGCGCGTGAATTCGTGCACTTTCTTTTCAATACTAAGGCCTATCAAATGAGCGGGTTAGAAGTTAAGACGATAAGATCATAATATAATGGACATGTCAATTTAGGCTAACTGGACAATATTCAAAATATCTAATCCAAGCATAACTTAATTTTTTATTTTTTGATTTATGGGTCAATTGGGATTATGTATGCAATCAATTGGCCTCATTTTTTAAATGACCTAAATTGGGCTATATATGCCCAACATGATCCTCTCAATGGATATATGTCCAAGTTTATGAGTATGTTATAACTTCATGGGCTAAATTATATTTGGCACTCCTAATCAAAACAGATCATAAAAGTCATACGCACTTTGAACAAGAATAGAGTTCTAAATTGTTTTGTTATCAACACCTTTGTTCACGATGGAATGGCTGTGAACGATCTCCCAATAGAGGACGTAGTGCCCTGGCACGGAAGAGGCGTCGGCGTAACTGGTGTATTCGACGAGCAGAGCTTGGTGCGGTTCCAGGAGTTTCTTGGCGAGGGTGATGCTCCTGTGCAAGTCTTTCTCGTTGGTCTTGTCATTGTCAATGCTGAGCACCACGTTTCTTCGGCAAATGAATCTGAATTGAGGGGCTTTATTGTGGAATCCACTTACTTGCAACACATCTCCAATGCGATACCGATACAGTCCTAAAGACATTAATTTGAAACAAGTAGAAAGACAGAAAAGAAGATTAGTCATTTAGGCATGGTTCAACAACAACAATAACAAATTCAGTGAGTTCCCACAAGTGGAGTCTGAAGAGGGTAAAATGTATGCAGCCTTACCCTAACCTGGAAGGGCAAATAGATTGTTTCCGATAGACACTCGACTAAAAAAATGATGAAAAGAAGAAATGGTAACAAGTAGTAACAACACAAGATAAAAAGAAACCGAAGATAAGATAGCAGTTAAATGCTAGATAGTAACAGCAGTCTAAGAATAAAAAGATATCCTACTAATACTAATGCTATGTTATACTTACGTGTTTTAACTTCAAATACACTGAGGTGTAAGCAAAATCTTACAAGCAGATAATTCGTCCTACTTTTCAGGATGCTAATGTAAATTTTTTTTTACAGTATTATTGTATGGACTAATAGAAATTAAACTCTGATAAATTATATATTGCTAAAAACCGAAGATGTTGTACCTGAAAATGTAGTAACCACCAACTCGTAATAATAACCGAGTCTAACGTGGACCAGGTCAACCAGCTTACTCTGAGGCACAAACTGTTCCTCGTCCAAGTCCATTAAGAAAGTTCCATTAGCTCCTAAAGGTATGAATTCAAAATATGCCATATTAGGCAATAGGGTGAAAGACACCTCATCTGGAGGACTCAAGGGTTTCAAATTCACACCAAAGTAACATTCAGACGAGGCATACATTGTACAAATTAAAGGCAATCTTCCTTCACTATAGTACTCTAAAGCTGGTATATATTGTGACATGGACCCTGTGACCACTGCCTCAATATATTTCGCCTTAGGCCAAAGTTGGCAAATTATCCCCTTCCACGACGAACGTCCACAAATTTCCTCAATCTCATCTGCAACGATATCAGAATCTAGGTTTAAAGTCGAAAGAATATTGGACAGAGCAGATCGACAAGAAACATCGATGATCATGGCGTTTAATTGGCCTGTTCGAATGTCATGACACATATTTTGCCAATTACGTTGGAGGAAAGAGATGGCACGAAGGAGGGCGGAGGCGAAAACGGCCCCGATTCGAAGGACTTGGTGGCGATAGACAAGTGCTGCTAGTAACTGGCAATACATGCTTTGGTTACTGTCATAACAAAGTATAGCTTGGTCTGGGCTTGTGAAATCGTTATAAGGATCCTTTGGTCGACATTTAAAGTGCTTGCTTTTGTAGTAACTTGTTAGTACTGTCCTTGCTGGTATGCCACAAGGTGTAGACATTTCTGCCTTGACAAAGTAGAGGAACATGGCTTTACCTTCATCAAGTCCTGGTATGTACCTGGTCAAATAATTAGGATTAAATATTAGTGTAGAGCACTAAATTAACAGTAAATGATGAGTACAAATTAAAAACAGATCTACACAAGAATTAAACTTCAGTATGAAGCAAATGAGACTAAGTAAGGGTGAAAACGTATTTGAACCGAGTGTTTACACCAAACCAACATTCCAATTTACCATGGCTATGTAATTTTATTAGGTAAAAACATATATTGATTAACCAGTGAGACGAGTCTATTTATAAACATGTGGTCGTACACCTATTGGTTTTACTTTTACTAGGTAAGCCTCACTCAGCCAATAAATAACTTTCGTTTTGAACAATTGAAAAAGAAAAGGATCTAATCCTAGTCCTAGACGAAATGAAGTGAAATCGGTGATTTGTAACCGGAATTATAGTTCATGAAATAATTTGACCATTCAACCCAGAACTTTTAGGGATCATTTGGTTTTAAGATAAGTTATACCTGAATTAATTATGATGAAATTAGTTACTCTGTATTATTTTTTATTGACGGTTGGTATGTTGTATTAATCCTGAGTTTTCAATTTTGCTGCTTTATCCTGGGATTACTATTCGAACATCTCGTAGGTATAACTTATTCCGGTACTATTTTTAATCTTGAGATAACTTATTCCAGAATTAATAACCAAACAAGGGATAAAGCGGTACTAAATTTTTACCCAAGATTGTTTTTGCTAGTCCATCATACCAGGGACATGTGTATTTTCCTATCCCACCTATCAAGATCGAGCTATATATACCATCACCCTGGCTGGAACTAAGATTATCGAAACGAATCGGGGATTTCTGCTCTTTTTGTGAATGCATGAGACATGCAACATGCAAACTAGCTAGCTAGCTAGCTAGCTCTGCTAAAAAAGTTACTAGAATCTGAGAAAATACTGCATGGGAAGGATGACAACGTGGTAACAAATGAAGTGTGAAATTAACTGGTTCATAATAGGCATAATGAGATTGTAGAGAAACGTTCGACGATCGAGATCTTGAGCAATTGAAGGCATCAACTTCGGCTCCCCGCCTGACGTCCCTGAGCTACATGTGTCGAAAGAAGAAATAAACAGAGAAACTCAGCACCAAACTTTATATAGAAAGCAAACCAATCAGCATATAAACATATAGAAACGAGAAATAAAATACCTGCAAAGCATTTCAGTGATTGGGTCCGCAGAAATAAGATTAGAGTCTTCTCCATTAGCAATTCGTAGGATATAAGGCTGAATATCCTCGTAAGTAATTGCTGGCACAAGACTCTTGAATTTTGAGACTTGTTTATTATCTTTTGATCCTATGAATTTTTTCAAGTATTCAGTTTCCCCATTTTGAGATAGAATTTCTCTTAGAATTCCCTCTTGAACTTCATCAGCGTTCTTCGTTAGTCTCTCAATCTCTTTCATTGCCTCCTTCCCCTTGTACTCTAATTTCTTTCCGTCCATATGATTTTTTATTCAAGAAAATATAAAGAAACTGTAATTTAATTAGTAATGTTAATTAAATTTAAGAAATAAAAGCAAGTACTGGTAAAAAGAGGAGAAAAACTAGCAATACGCCATATCGGGAAATTTTTTCTCTATGAATTGTGAAGAACCAAATGGCGGTGGCTTTTATAAAGAGTTATGGATAATATCAAACAGAATATTTCGCAATAAGTACTTAGTTGGACGACGTAAATGAACAATTAAAAAGGTTCATCATGTCGGTTGATAATTTCAATTTCACTTTAGAGGAAGAGGGATGTCTCTGATAAACTAAAGCGATCAAGTCTGCATCATAATTATTGATATGACATTTTTTCTGTCTATTTATGGGACACATTTTTCCTAAATCCACTTCATTAATCACTGCACTCAAATGTCTAAGACATATATTCGACCTTAAATTTTAAAATATTTTTTTTTATTTCTTAAACTTTGTGAGAAAGTAGAAAAATTTATTCTTGCCAAAAGATGGTACACGATCATTATGGGCTCCATCTAGGCTCTTAGATTTTTTAAGGAGAAAGTACCACTTTGGAAGGTGCAGTGTATAGCTTAAAAATTTGCATAATTTCAAGGTCTTGCTTTTGAAAATTCATTAAACGATAAGGTCCGAATTAATAATTTGATCAGTTAGACTTACTTGGTTTGCGTTTTCTATTAAGGTTAGTTTTATCAGAAATATGCGACTCACCCTTATATAGCGTTATTTAATTATCTTTTTTGGTCTATATATTAGGTGTTAAATATTGATGTTTTACTATAACTGATAGAAATTAGTTGTCTATTCATACTTCCTTTTCCTTTAGGATCAACAATATGAAACAACTTTTTACCATGCTATCACTGTGATATTATACCAATATAATATAACATCATATAATACAGCGTAACATTATCTACTCATACTAAACTCTTGTTACTTTTGCCATTTTCTTGCCTCACTACTCACTATAGCATATGCATTTTGGTATAAATCCCCGATTTTGTTAACAAGGAATATGACGTGTATCACACAAAAAAGGAATCCTCAACTTTATCTCTAAAGGAAAATACGTTGTGGCCAACAAGATGCATCAAAACGTCACTATTTATAACAAGACTAGTTGACTAAACATCACGCGTTTTCTACGCTGAGGGACAGAAAATTAAAACGAGCAATTAACATTAATGGATTGGCTTTGCTACCAATATATATAGTGTTAGGTGTTTGATGTTTATACTCCAATATCACACAAGAGGGGTGATTTGTGTGGTGTCCATTTTTTACTTAAATTGATTATGGAAGGACCTGGTTCTTCTAAGTGTTCCTTAACCTACTATTGCAGAAATAGTAAATGCGGAAAGTAAAGAACACAAGTATATTACGTGGAAAATACCTGGATCAAAAGGCGAAAAAACCACGACCTACTTCCCAGTAAGATTTTCCCAAACTCTTCACTAAATCAGTGAGCCAAAAACTGCATTTACAAAATACTTTTGTAAACCTAGGATTAACTCTAATCCTGTTGTAGCAAGCAACCTCCAACTGTTGCGGCAACCTCAAGATAACTCTAACTTGAATACTCTGAGTACCTATTACAATTGCCTCTAGATAAAGCTGAAAGGTACAATATGAAAACACCTACTACAATTGAACTAGAATAAAAGACAGACACTTGGAACTGGTTCTTCTATCCGGTTCATGTAGCTTCAGGTTTGCACACTTAAATCACACACGAACTGCTTGCAAAAAGCCTTGCTATTTTGCTCTCAATTCACGTTTAACTTCTGCGTTTGTGCATTACATGTAATGTGAGAACATCCCGTAATTTATAGAGTTAGTAGATAAAAATATAACTAGAGGTCTAATGCTACTCTTCCTTGGTGGAAGAGTTCTAGTTGATCTCAACTTCTAACTCCTTCCCTATCTTGGACAGTGTTCTCTTTGAGTGAGGATTCCTTCTCTTTATCAATTATGCAACCTTTTCGATCAGGAGATATCAAATATACCAAGATAAGCTTATCTCCTTCACGTGCAACCCACATGCTCGAATCTGTCCGTTTCTATGCACCACAAGTGATGGTTCATGCCTGAGCTTCCTTTGTCAATCTTCAAAAACTAACCTTCACTTGGGCCACCAAATTCCCCCTTTTTGATGATGACAAACTCTGTGCTTTTCATTAGCTTAGGCCCTGTTCCAACTTAACTCAACATCAACACAGTGTTAGAAACATTTTTTCCTTTTTATCACTTATCATCAAGGACCAGGTTCATTAGGTTATAAACATCACTGTTCAAAGCTAAATATCACTTGTTTAAAGCATAACCTTTTTCCCCCTATTGGCATCCTCGAAAAGTTGCATAAAAAATGTGCAATACCTAGATTTTAAAACTTACTCATGGCCACTGGGGCTATCCCAAATGCAATCATGGATTAATCATCATCGATCAAGCTAAGAATTTCAACCATCAAAGAAATATAAACAAACAATTAAAGCAAAAACCATCATATTTCATTGATAGGTGATATGATTCTTCCACAAAGCATAAAAGGAAATAAAAATATTGAAAATATGAGCAAATAGAAAACATCCCAAACTGGGTCACTGAAGAAACTACACTAGGCTAGGAAGTTAGGGCTTGGAAGAACTAGGTGCTGGGTTATTGGCTTGGAGAAGTTTCAACATGTCTTGAAGAATTCCATCATTCTTCTCCTTTTCCCTTGCAAGTTCAGTTCTGAGAGCATCTCTCTCAGATTCTACCTCAGCCAACCTTGTCTTCACCCTTGCTATCTCAGCCTCCTTTGCCTCACTCTCCTGCACCAAGGATCTGACCTTGCTATTGACTGGTGCTTTCTTGGATGAACCATGTTCATTAGGAGTGGCAAGAACCTCATAGTCACAAGCAATCAAAGTTTTCGCCCCAAAGTGATCTTTGCTTGTAGCCATCTCTCGTTCTTCAAAAGCACCTTAAAATGTGCAAGCACATCTGTGAGAATGAAGCCATAGGGAATGGCATGAGACTTGGTGCCATTGATAACCCTATCAAGAAGCCGGATTATAAACCCAGGCCAATTTATCTGCCTCCCACTGTCTAAACACTCCATGAAAACCAAACCGATAAAGTTTGCAATGTTCCTTCTTTCCTGCCTTGGCAGAACGCATTTGATGAAAAATTCGAACAACACTTTGTGGGATAGCTTCATCTCACTCTTGCACACACCCTTCAGAATAGTTATTTTGCCAAACTTGGCCATCTTGTCCTTTTCACTATCTGATTCATCTTCCCCTTCTCCACTCCATTCCTCTTCTTCAGCAATTTTTACTTGTTTGGGTTTCACTGCAGTCCTGGTCCTTTTTGCCCGGGTGGATAATTAAGCAGACTTTGACATATGAGAAGAATTCTTAGTGGAAGTCTTGGCTTTCTTGGGCTTGGGAGTATGAACCTCCACTTCAGCATTTTCATCTTCATCTTGATGGACCAGGTCCATCTCATCCACATAAACAGCCTCAACAGGCTCTCCCACTTTCTTCTTCCCTTTGTCCATCCGTTTCTTTTTGCTTTCTTCTAATGATTTCTGCATCTGTGACGACCCAAAGGGTCATCACCTATTTTCTCACTCATTCTGTGTCTCCGAGGCCTTGAAAACCTCATTTAGGCTTGCCTCAATTTGCTTGCGCAGTCTGGGCGTGTAGCCGAAAAGCCTAAATATAAATTCTGTGTAAAAATTGATGAATTATGGTATTAATATGAATAAAGTTGACTTTGGTCAACATTTTGCGTAAACGGACCCGGACCCGTGATTGGACGGTCCCGGAGGGTCCGTAGAAAAATATGAGACTCGGGCATATGCCCGGAGTCGAATTCCGAGGTCGAGAGCCCGAGAAATGAATTTTTCTGTGAAATTATTTTTCAGAAATTAATATGGAAATTTGAAAAGGAAATTGATTAGAACGTGTTGGTATCGGGTCCGTATTTTGGTTCCGGCGCCCGGTACAGGTCTTATATGTGGTTTAAGCGCTTTCTGTGAAATTTGGTTGAAATCGGACGTCATTTGACGTGTTTCGGACCTAAATATCTAAAAATGAAAGTTTATGAAGTTTGATGAAAAGTGATGTTTTTGAGGTTTGATTCCTCGTTTTTGATGTTATTTTGGCAATTTGATCGCACGCTGAAGTTCGTAGGATGTTGTCGAGTTAGTGTGTGTGTTTGGTTAGGAGCCCCGAGGCCTCGGGAGTGTTTCGGAGGTGTTCCGGGAAGTTTTAGAACTTAGAAGAAGTTGCAGAAATTCTGCAATAGGTGCCCAGGCATTTTCTTCTTCGCGTTCGCGCCCTCTCTCCCGCGTTCGCGATGCCTTAGATTCTCCTCCTTCGCGTTCGCGTAACTGTACTCGCGTTCGCGTAAGTCTACGGTCCCCCTTCAGTGCGTTCGCGTAAGGCCTCACGCGTTCGCGTTGGCCAAACTTTGGACCCCAGAATTTTTCCTCTTCGCATTCGCACTTCTCCACTCGCAAATGTGATGGTTGTCAATTTCTGCCCTTTGCGAACGCGACCCTACTGTCGCGAAAGCGTGGGGTAATTTCACCCAGCGATTTTTAAGTCATAAAAACAGAACAGTGTCGGGTTTTATTCAAAAAATACACGAACCCTTTCTTCTCCAAAGCTTCTAGGCGATTGTTAGGGCATTTCTTCATCAAAGCTTCTTGGGTAAGTATTGTTTTACTTGTCTCCTTCATTTTCCATCATCATTTATCAAATTCCTAAGCTCAAATCATGTAATCTAGGGTTGAAATTGGGGAAAATGGGTAGAGTTAGGGCTTTTCAATTTTCTTTAATTTAGACCTCGTTTTGGGGTCGAATTTGAAAACAAATTGTATATCCGGGCTCGTGGGGGAATGGGTGATATGAATTTGGTCCGAACCACGTGTTTTGACCAAGCGGGCCCGGGGTCGATTTTTGGAATTTTGGGAAGAAGGCTTAGAAAGCTATATTTAGGCATTGGGTTTGATTTGTTTAGTTTATATTAATGTTGTAAAGTCGTTATTTCATAGATTTGATTGAGTTGGAGCCGAATTCGAGAGGGAAAGCGGTCGTTGTGGATTGATCTAGCCGTGGAAGTTGAGGTAAGTGTTTGG